GTTGCCAATTTAAACCAAAGCTTCTCTTTTTTTTTTTTTTGGCTGAAAACGAAATACAAAAAGAGTTTAGAACTTAGATATGATTTCCTTTTCTTTGGTCTGTTCAAAATTATCTTATTTTTAATTTTACAGTAATTCATATATGTTAAAACGAAATATAAAAGATTCACTACTTAGATTCAATTTGATCTAGAATATTCGAAGTAATTAATTTCAGGTCTTTCTCTGCATATATATGTACAGAGAAGGCGAGATAATAAGCATCATCAAGCAAAAACTCAAACATTATTTTTCTAAGAATTTACTATGGCTGCTTCTGCTGCAGTATTTTTCGTGATGAGGAAGAACCAACAGAGACAAAGTAAGGCAAATGACGAATATTATGATACTATGATCAAGAACCAACAAGTGCAGACACAAATTAAGACAAATATTGTCAATGGCTTCATTGTTGATTCTTCGCAGACAAATCTAGCCAAGTGGATTTTTGAGACATATCCGGAAACTGTAGCGAATGTTCAGTCTCAATACCAACAGGTCAGGACATATTCTATGAACATACTCTTCCGTATCCACGAGATGGTTTATCACAAGAAGACGAGTAAATTCTCTGATTCTGAACTACGCAAAGCTTCCAAGGGTTTGTCTACTTTAACAAAAGCCGATTTTGAGGTTGAATGGTTGAGGTCAAAGCTTGATGAAATGGTTTCCTTGGAGAGGAAAGAACGTGATGCTTGCGAAGCTCGGATTGTGGAACTCAAACAAGAAATGAAGAAACTTGAAGTTATGATGTCTGGTCTAAAAGTTGAGTTGAAAAACGAGAAGGCTAAGTTGAAGAAGCTATAGTTATAATTTTAGGTTTATTTTGGGGAATTTCTTCTTTTAAATTTACTAATTTTTTTTTTATTTGGCCAAGATAAAGATGATTTGTAGGTTTTTTTAGTTTGAAGTATATCTCATAGACTCATACTGCATTAAGATAGTTTTGAACTTTTGATAGCTTGCCCCACACGTTTAAGTTAGGGCTACCGTAAGACGTACATTACACCTAATGTGCTATGAAGTACTTAATTAATGGCTAAGAATGAGGCAATGAGCTTAAAAGTATTGTTGGTTAAAGATATACAGAACGCTAAACATTTTTTCCCTTGAAAACGTCACTAACAAAAAGTATCTTTTATATTTTTATTTTGTTGTATCTTTTTTTATCTTGTTTTATCGTGTCCTAAATTTAACCCCTTTTAAGATAGATGATTAATTTACGGTGTGTAATGATATATTAACCATTTAGTCCGAACTAAAGATGATATATGATTAATTTACGATGTGTAATGATATATTAACCACTTAGTCTGAACTAGCCATGGTATATGATTATCGATCCTGAATTTTGAGGTTATAAGAAATTAAGAGAAGTGGCTGGTTTCATTGTGCCTCAAATTTAACTCATTTTGAAAATATGATCATTTATGCTATGTTATGGTATTATTAACCACATAATCTCAGATTAACGAAAAGAAGTAATTAAGGCTTTCGATTTCAAACTTCGAAGTTATTAACAAAAAAGGATCGTTTTTGATTTTCTGTATAAATAATAAAAAACCGAATTTTCTCTTAGTGCTCACACACAGATAGGTGCGTCACACGGGATTACCACACCACACAAACATAATGAAAATAAAAACACTAAACCTTTTTTTTTCTCTTGTTTCACTAATGAGAAATTGAATGTAATAGCCATAAAAAAAATTATAATAAAATCTCTAACCATTTACCTTAAATCCAAGGGTTAATATGTTGCCATATACACTAATTTTCCTTATTTTCTAATTATGATTATTTTTTTGTTAGTTTTGCAATTCACCCTTCACTAATTCCTAGTTTAAAACGAAATTAAAAAAAAAAACAAAGTCAGTATATATGATTTCCTTTATTTTTTGTTAGATAAACTTACGGAACTTATCTTGTTTACTAATTCCTATATTTAAAAGAAAAATTGCAAATTAAATTTCAGTTTATTTCGTTACCTATATATAATAAATAGAAGAAGTTATATATCTAGCCATCACGAAGCAACGAATGT